CTCAAATAATACTAAAATAGTTCAAGTTCAATTGGAAAAAATGGAGATGAAATGACTCAGAAGAAAAAAGATTTTAGTCTGAGGAATGTGCAAAAGATCAAAGTACCAATAGTTACATTCTTCTTCTTGTTCTTCTTCTTGTTCTTTTTCACCGTCTTCCCCGCAAGTAAAATAAAAGAACCCAAAAATATCCAAGAGCAACCAAATCTAAGAGAGTGATAAAAACAATCTCAGCCTTTCCTACTGAAACGGAAAAACAAAATGAAAATCCATGAATACACATAAATATCCAAACACTGAACACAAGAGACACTAACACAAAAACTCATTCAAATGAGCGAGAATTGAATTCAAGCCCAAAAATTAACAATGGCAGTGAAGCCAGCGGTATGATAGATAGAAATCATGTGCTCTGTCTAACATTCTAGCTTAATATAGAGACAGTCGCTTGTATCTTCATACCCTGTAGAACAAACACGTTAATACATTTAATACTCTGAAACATTACCATAACAGACGTACAAATATAGCAAACCTGCTGGTCACATAATTCAAGCTTGAGCCTTCTTCCTGACAGATGTGAATTATGTGTCCAAACACGAAGGATCTTCACGAATATCATTGAATCGTATAGACCAGGATCAACCGAAAGACACCTGTAGGCTGTAGCTATTAGATTAAAACTAAACAGAAAATTATCTGATTTAACAAAACCTGGGTAACCGCAACGTTCGATTCCGTTATTGTCATTGTGAAAAAGAGAACATCTTGCATGATTCCCAATGGCAGCAGAAGAAGGCCTAACAAAAATACGGTTCCCGAGTTTTGTTGGTGTCCCAGGATAGCTAGATAGGCTACAGCCTCTGAAGATCGGACAACCGGTATGGCACCACACTTTCGTTTTGACGGGCGGAGAACGAACAAAAAGCAACTTGAAACCAAAGCACTTAAACTCAATAAAAAAACCAATAACAATAACGATAAACTTTCAACGATACAGAAGCATAAAATCGATTATGTTAGAAAGCCAAAGCACCACTGATACGCAGCCTCTTAATCTTTCTGCAATAGTGAACAAAAACATGGAGTTATATTACTAACGTTAAAGAAAGTAAAAACACATACAACCAAACCAAGTGAAATATAGCAAGAATATAACAAACGTAAATAATGATACATATATAGGGTTCTAGATTTGTGATTACGATCTAGATTTTTTTTTTAATTTTAATCATGTTAAATTTAATTTAAATTAATTGATAAATATTAATTATTTTTTAAGAAGGGGTAAAGGGTAATTAACCATCCTAAGATTGAATGAGAGGGTTTAAAGCTAAAAATTTACTTCACTTATACTATATATGATTAGTAATCTAAAAAAGTGTAACAAATTTAAAAGTGTTAGGTCAGAATTACAAAAGCTCAAACATGAATAGAACTTTCTTATTTTGAATGGATATTTAAACAGTAGTTCCAATATAATTTTGAAATCAATGAAATACACAAACTAACAGACCCTTTAATTTTTTTGTAAAATCTCAAGTGATAATATATATTTAACAACTCAAGTGATTATATATATATATATATATATTATTTTTCATACGAAAAGAATCTAATATCTTAGATTTCATTTGATTAGTAATCTAAAAAAATAGTGTAACAGATTAAAAGTGTTAAATCAGAATTACAAAAGCTCAAATATGAATAGAATTTTCTTACATATTTTGAATGGATATTTAAACAGTAGTTCCAATAGAATTTTGAAATCAATGAAATACACAAACTAACAGACCCATTTAAATTATTGTGAAATCTCAAGTGATACTATATAGAGTGAATTACATAAAAATACACTTTCATTACTTATCTATATATATAAAGATAGCTTTTCTCTCTTCTGGTGTTGCCACCTCAGTAGCCACCTCAGCAGCCACCTCAGCAGCCATCTGTGCAATTATTTTTTTTAAAAGCTTTTAGTTTGTCCGGTTTCTTCAGTTACGGCAAATGATGAGACACTTTAAATAAATCAAATATCACACTACCATAAACTAAAATTAAACAAACCATATGAACGACAACAATCACGGAATCACCATCAAAAGAGAATTGCATAAACAGATTTTTCGACGGAAGTAATATTTTCCAGAAAAAAAACTCAGCTCAGCTTAACCATAAACGCTGGACTTTCTACCAATCCCAAAAAGGATCCATGAAATCCACGCCAAATTGGAGTCACCAACGGCACACCCAAAAAACCAATTCCAAAGCTGAGAAACTGATCAGCTCCCCAATATGATGACGAATAGAGGTATATCTAAGAAATCATGGGAAGGGGTTATACCGGCACTGATTCTGGAAAAAAGCACTGCAAGAGTGGACAATACCGAAATAAACGTCACTGAATCACCCAAGGAAGAAAGAGAAGGAGGATGAAAAAAATGACTCAATTAGGACCAAAGGAATGGGTATGAACAAAAGGTTGGTCCGACCAAAATTTCAATCACCCTCTTTCAATTGAAGCACCCTCTATCAACAATAGAAGAGTTTTGCCAACATTTGAGAGAGCTATCGATTAAAACCTACAATTATGAAGGGCTAAAAACGGTTTTGTATAATCAAAATGAGATTTCATAAACATCGAACGAACAAATAAATATAGCTGGAAAATGAGCCAATATAAAATAATACAAAAAATTACAGACTAAAAAAAAACTTTCATACTAACCATCCAAACCCGATTTCAATATAGACATTTTGTACTTCTTTTGACTCAAGGCCTTATACAAAATATACTAATGGAGAAAGTGCTTTCACAATTACAAATTAAAAAAACTAAAAAAATAAATAATTTATAAACAAAAATAAATTAACAAGAATAAATATAGCACTTCCATAACATTAACCAAAAAATTATTAAAAAAAAACATTCTGAATAACACCTTTTATAAGAGATATAAGTCTCCCATATATAAAACTATAAAAAAGGGAAAAAATATGTGTATAATATAATAGAGAAGAATCGTAATATAAAAACAATGGTAAACGTGGATGACACACTAGTTTTACATAAAAAAACATTTTCAACTATTTGGACACTTTTCTACTGTTCAAAATATGATAACCCCAAATTACCCTTTTATTACTTTGCTTCTTCTTCATCTCTCTTCTTAGACGCCGACAGACAATCCAGTTTCTGAGAAATTTCAAACCTTCACCCTTCATTATTATAAATCATCATTTAACAATATTGCAAACTTACATCTTCCTCAAATTACAAACATTCATCTCCTAGGTGATACTAAATAAGGTTTTCGATGTGAGTGAATACTTGTAGACATGTCTCTGTTTGTGAGTTTGTGTTTGAATCAAGTCATATTCTGATTCTAAGTCTCTGTAACTAGAGAGGGTCACACTTTCTCTCTCTCTTTTCTCGTTCACGGCAAAGCGAACGAAGCGATTCACTTCCATGGAGTCCTTTCCGCTGTGGAGAGCGACGACCGAGATCTATAACAATGCGGCGGAGCAGATTTCTTCTCCGTTGTAGCCTCTAAGTACAGATATGACTAATATCTGCTTCAGAGATCAGCTCTACTTGACCGTAACCCTTTTACGATATGGATAGAATAAGGTGGATGGTGTTGTATTGACGATGTCGATTTGATGATGCTGTACTCTTGTAGACATAGATAAATATTTGTGGATATGGCGAGGTGGACATGTAGATATGATTTTTGTATATTGAGGATTGAATAGGTGGATTAGGAATTTAAGAAGTTGGTTACAAATGTTTAAGAAAGCAGTTTTGGACATAATTTCAGGAATAAGGTACTAAATAACAAGATGCAATCAGCCTATATACCCGAACATGTGGATATAGAGATGGTGGATGGTGAATTGGTGGATATGGAGTAATTTTTGCAATTTTTAACCTGATGAATAAGTCCTTCTCGTGGACAATGAAAGGTGGACAGTTTATGTGCACATATAGCTTGGATTACTCAGAATAGACAAATTAAGCAAAGTGGACTATGGAGGGTGAACTAAGAATCATCTGATTTTTTTTTTTCAAAACACTTACGCTATTTAATCATTTCATTCTTTGTTGTTTCTGCAATGCGATCGTTTTCTAAACATCTCGATTGTTGTCCATTACTAATTGTCCAGATGATCCAGTACAAATGGTTATAATTAGTGTGATGGGTTTTTTTTATTGAATTTGAATGAGATTGATTGCTCTTTGGAAGACTTGCACGAAGATTAATTAAATTTAAATGTGATTGATCCTCAATCACATTATTTTTTTAAGAATCAAATTGTTCATCATATTTTGTAAACCAGGGTGAACAAGATTCGATGGATAAGATATTGTGGATACTTTCCACGGACAAATGTTGTATATCATCTTAATTCAATCCATAAGACCTTTACCAGTTTAGTTTTAGAGATGAAAATGTTGTATATCATCATTCTTAAGCTCGTCTAAGATCACGACAATGAGATATGACTGTTCATCCACCATGGCCATCATATTCCCACCTTATAGATCTTGATCAATCACCATAATGAGAAAAACAACAAAATTTTTTTTTTTTATTAAATCTCTCCACTTTCACAATACGATAAAAAAATACTGCAGATGCCGAAATGTAACGACAATAAAAATATAAAAGTGGAAATTCAGTCTCAAGATTTGGATTGAGAAAATCTCTCGACTTAAATTGACAGAACTATGAATGCATATCTTATCTTGAGATGAACAAAGCTAGTGATTTTATGGTGTTTTTGGCGACTACGACTAGGAAGAACGAGAGAGATGAAACAGGAGGAAGAAGGAGAGCGTGAATTTAATGAAGGGTATGCTTGGAATTTCAAACCTCCAAAAAATAGAGAAAGTGCCTCAATAGCTGAATGTGTCTTTTTTTGTAGTTAGAAAGTGGTAAAGTGTCTTTCTATGTAATTTATTCTACTATATATAACAACTTGAAAGCAAAGACTTGAGACCAAAAGATCAAAGCCATCTCAGATTTATATGTTCGCTACAACAAACATGTTGCTTCATCCTGATTCTGTACTCAAATCAGGTATACAACAATAAGCCATTCGATTCTACTAATAATGCATCTCTCCTACATCCTTTTTTTTTCTTTTTCATGTAACTTTTATCTTGTACTTTACTACATACATACGAGAGACAAATTTCATTTCATTACACAGTCACATAGGTTGGCTCCTGGTTAAGATACACCTTTGGATTGTACTGAAACCGAAGCTTCAAGTTGTAAGGCGAGAGAGGTTGAAACGGTGTACTCTGCGCGTTTGTTCAGCAAACTGTCCGACCATAGCATATTGATGCAATGTACAGATTTTTCGCCCATTTGTCCTAAAACCAAAAAGTAAAGGTTCAAGTCAGTACATAGAACACCGGTGGTAATCCAATGTGAAATAGCCAACAACAAACCTTGACATGAGTGCTTGGGAAAGCAGAAGTGCGGAGAGTCTCTTGGGTTTCATCGGATATTTTTCGTTTAGGTATACTCAATATGAGAGCTGCTTGATCTGCTGTTGCAGCCATTGATGTTATCCTGTACCCACTCTCCCATCTTCGATGGATTCCTTCACTTGGGTACAAAAAGTCAAGCTCCACTACCTAATATACAATACACCACAGAGAGACATCACTAAGACATTCTAGTGCCCCAAAATAAGGAAATAAAGAAATGTTGAAATGCCTAAGGTTAAGAGATGGGGAACCTGTTCAGAATAGCCTGAGTTCCTGGACATTACTACACCCCAACGACTCCCAGCGGTGGTCATGGACGTTACATGAAATCCTTCTTTCCACTTTTTATTAATCCATTTGAATGGGAATGAGTCGCTGACTTTGTACGATTGCTGAGTATAAGGAGTTCCTATCACATCACATTACATGAAGTAGAATAAGTAAAACGACTTCATGCCCCAATGATTCAACAAGTAAGACATATCAGGAAATTTTGTCGTCAGACATGAATGCCAACCTTTCGACATAACTACCAACGAGCTCCCGTTATTTGAACCAGCTATGGAACTGATATAGTAGTTCTTTTCCCATTGTTCCATAATCCAGTCCTGGAAAGAATCCAAAAACAAGTGGTGAGCTGCTATAATCGAGCATAGGCATGACATGACGACAGCTAAATGTGCATCCTGATGCTTCAGCTTAATTACCTTGTGTAGGAAGACTGTGGACAATTCATAAACTTGAGAGCTGAACCCAGTCCCAGCATCCATGATGAGAGCCCAGAGATTAGCTGCTGATGCTACACAGCTTATGAAAAGGCCATCCTCGTTACCTTTCTCTACATGCTGGTGCAGCCTTGTGTCTGAAACATTGTAATGATATCTACAAAGAGCAACAAAGACTGACCAGTCACGCAAAGGAAAGCCACGCAATGTACCAAAAAAGGTATCCCGGCTTATTTATATTTCCCAAATAGGTAATAACTAAAGCCACAATCAATGGAAAGCCTAAAATAATATGTTTTGCTAGAGACAGCAGAGCAAACTGGTCAGTTAGAAAGAGGAATTCAAATTATGAAGGTTTTAAACCTTTATACTCCAGATATGAGTGATGAGCAAACATTAAAATGTGTAACAATTACCTCTGTTTCATAGGACGACGTGCATTATAGACTGAAATCCACTGGGTAGCAGGACTGCCGATTCTGATTTTCTTCCTCGGCTGCTCATCTTCTTCCAAATTGATAAGCAATCTTCCTCGTTTTTGGCCAACCTGTTCATGCAAAATAAAAATATCAGCACTAGATGAAATAACTTTAAATAGATAAAATAAACCATAAGAACCAAAGATAACCACCTTAAGAGCCCCATCAATTCGAATTGGTCTAGATATAGCACATGGCTCGATAAGAGTATCAAAAATCGAGATAAGTTTGGCATAGTTGGGCTCCTCGTCAAACTTCATATTAGTAACTGCCTCGAGGAACAGCTTAAACGGGGGAGGACAAAAACAGCACATCAGTTCAGGAGAGGTTGACATCTTTTTCTTGCAAACAAGAAAGCTCTTGTTGTCGCCCTGCGTACAAAAACTATATATCATTGACTAGACCTAAGACTTACAAGGTTTTAGGTTTTGCATAGAAAGACAGAAAAACTCACTTGGTAACCTTGCCATGGTAACCTTCCTCGTATCAGAAATATTAATGTATAAGCCAAAGATTCCAGATCATCTCTCCGACTTCCAGTACGACCAAGATGTGCATGACAACTTGCATACCTTATCGTTCCCCTGCATATGAGGCATAATAAAGATGTAAGGAAAAAAATATATATATATATATATCATATATGTATATATAAAAGTAGGAAAGATAACATACACCAATTACCTGAATACATCTGGTCTTTGATCATATTCAACATGCTGGCCAGAATGCGAATCTTTCCATCTTGATGCTGAAATAAAAAATGATATATGTAAACATTACGAATAAATAAAACGGTTACAGGTTGTTTGTAAACATATTACAGAAACTCACCCAACCCAAGATCGATAAGGTAAAGTTTCTTCTCGTCTGCTGTGCCAGACTGGCCTAGTAAGAAGTTTTCTGGTTTCACATCTCCATGCACAAACCTTGTTTGATGTCGAGATAGATCACGGCATGACAGTCAGCTCAACGATAGCGATACTTTGGCTGTAAATGTGTATTTTTTTGTTCGAAATAAATGGAACAAGTTGGAAACAACAAACAATGGAACTAACCCCTTCAAATGCAGTTTCTCAAGAATAGATATCGCCTCCACTGCAATACACGCTACCATGTGTGGAGACATCCTACCACATATGACAACAATTTAGAATATCTGCATGCGCATGGATGGTATGAAAATAAAGCATGATCGAAGTGCTTACGATTGAGCCATAGAATTCCAAACATCCCAGAGGCTAGGGCCAAGCATGTCCATGACCTGAAATAATAATAGATGTTTCTTTATAAAAGATACCTGATCAATCTCGACATGTAACCAGGCTCATTCTAAAAGCTTACCAGAATGTAAAAATCTCCCTGACGACCCTTATGATGTACAGCAGGAATTCCATAACAGCTATTGAGCGTACTTTACATAAGAAAAAGAAGAAAGAATAGATAAGTAGTGAAAAATAAGGAGATAGACAAACTGGGCAGGAAATTTAGAAAGGAAATATGCAAGTCTTACTTGTACACTTGCCACTCATACGGTGGGCCAAAACTACAGCCTTTACTATTTCGATGTTCAAGTTTCAGAGCTACCTGAAAAGGAAAAGAATTAACTTTTTATTATTTTTCACGTTTTTGGTCTCAACCCCACGATTTTCACCAGGCTTTTTTTCTAGTATACCTCAATTGCATCAGCTCCAATCTTATCACTGCCACCACTCACCCTTCTGCCAACATAAACTTGACCAAAGCCACCCTTACCGAGTTTCCTCTCCGTCTTATAAACAGGAGAATTTCCAACTTGGACCTATACACAAAATGAAATCATAGTGAATATCTCTCTCAAAGGAAAATGAAAAGCTGACACAATGCTTAAGACAACTAGCATGGCTCGCAAACCACATATCAACAAAAAATCTATAAGGTTACAAAATAATGAATGATTGGTGAAGAAAGAATACTGTATGTTGAACTCCAAAACATATCCTAGAGGTTAACAGAAATTACCCTTTCAGGGACTGGAGCCATGCTGGAATCTTCGTCCATGGCAGCTATTTTCTCTGCGCTACCGCCTTCCACAGCAATATCCTTATCAGCTGCCCCTTCAGCTCGATTTAAAGCAGGTTCAGCGGCCCCTAGAGCACCTGCAGCTGGGCGAACCTCACAAGGTTCTGGCTCTAAGTCTGTCAACCTGATACCCCTGCCCCTACCGGCAGCTGTTGGTCTTGGAGGTACCGCCCCTTTAGCTAAAGCAGCATTCCCCCTTCCTCTACCACCACCTCTTCTTCTTGTTGCAGTCTGAGGAGGAAGTGCGATATTTTCTGCTTGTTCAACTAGCTGAGGGTTAGGCTGATCGTCAAGGCGTCTCGATCTCCTTGCTCCACTTCTTAACTCTGGCATTCTTACTCCATGCAAGATGTAAAATTATTTTTCTTACGGTCACCTCTTTAGATTACCTGTGGCATAAAAAAAAAAGAGGAGTGTGAGGTTTTGGTAAATAACAGCTTACTTGATGCTATAATCCACAAAACAAAAGGCGAAGGAAATTTTTTTTGCGGCATTCCACATATATGAGCTAGCACTGGTATAAGGTGAATAATTAACTAACTGATAAGAGGGCAATTATCAAGGTAAAACGGATTCTTTATCAGGAAAGTGCTTAAAACAAATCAATAGAGATAGCAAAGTAATGGCAATCTCATATAATAGAGGAAACCATGGCTTACATTACGAGCATTCATTTTCCATAAACAATCAAACGGAAAAGCCACCACAAGAAAAACATTTGTGACCACATTTAGATCTTGCGACGAGTGATATTTGGCTCCACAGTAATCGAATTCATCAACTAGTGAAGCTTCCTAAAGTGAACGCATTTACAAAGAGCTGATGATGGAAGATAACAACGCCAATAGACCAACAACATTTCCTAGCCCATAGATCGACAAACACAAACTCCGGATAATTTTCATTTCTCACAGGCACATACAAATCCAAAGCAAAAGTAACATAGATTCGACTAAAGCTAACTGTAACCATTCGTCAGTATCATAAAATATGTTCGATCATCTTCCAAAATTACGATCTTTCGCAAAGTCATGAAAAATGTACGAACAAAGTCACAGCACAACAACCACAACCGGAATCGAATCGAAGATGTCAGAGTCTAATTACCAGAAGATCGATGCTAGATAATACTTCAAAAATAAAGATGATCGGAAGATGAAGAGAGCGGAGCAGGATCGATCCAGAACAAAAACTTTCAGATCTCCGCTCGAGTTTCCAAAAATGAGAAACCGATTAGCTCCTTCTCCTTGAGCTGTGACGATTTCAATGTGAAAAACTTCTAAGCTGTGAAGTAGACACAAGAGATAGAGATACAGGTAGAGAGAGAGAAACCTAGAGAGAGAGATAGTAGCGGCTAGATTTAGGGTTAATAATGAAGAAGAAGATGAAGATGACGATGAAGAAGAGGTGCAAATTTTGGAAAGAGATTTCTGAGTTATGAAAATAAGTTTTTTTTTTTCCTTGGGAGATGGATTGATTCACTTTTTCAGTTTTTTTCCTTCTAAGGAGTATATTTTGTGAATTTTTACCTATTTCTATTTTTCTTTTTTAAAAATCGTTTTGCAACGTTAACTTTTTTTTTTCTGTTCGTCAGTGTTCCTAATGGCTGATGCCTAATGGCTACAACACTTTTCTATTGGCTATCGCTGTTCCGCTTTGGGTTCCTCGCGTGCATTTTTCTTTCTGTGGCTGATATTTTATTAATTAAATATTCTTATTACAAGTCTTTCTTTTTAACGTCGTCTACAAATATTATTTGTAAGAAAAACTAGTTAATTATAAATAGATAAATTCGGACGTAAATGCGTTGTTTATATAATTATAGACACGAACAGTGCGTGTAGGCATATTGTTTTGGTACGCAGGTACGGTACTTACAGTAATACAGTCGTATATACGATGTATATATGATATATCCCTTGTGTCTTGTACGCTTAAAAGTTGTATCGTTTGTATCGTATACGGTGTGTATGCACCAGTGCACCACAAATATAAATTAAAAAAACCAGCACAACACTACATCGGTTAATTTTCTATAAGGTAATTCTAATTAAATATGTATTCGATAACTGTGATATCAGTATTATTATTTGTTTAGTGTTATTTTTTTAGTATGTTTTCATGTTCTTCAAAAAAAAAATTACTTTTTTAGTTTGCATTTATTCTATGTAAATCTTTTCATCATAAATTTGTAGTTACATCGCTTAAACGTCTCATTATATGTAAAAATATTAGTCGGGGATATATAGTTTGACGAACTTATATGTATTGTAAAACATTGGTTAAGAAAATAATAAACATACCTAAGAGTATATTATCTCTTCTTTATTTTTATGTTAAAGGGATTAAAGAAACTCAACATTTCAAAATGAAAAGCTGTCGGTTAATGTAAGAGTTATTCGGTGATCAATTAATTTGTTGGTTATTGTAAGAGTTATTGCTCTAAACGAAACTCTGGTTCGATTCTAGTTAGATGTTAACTACTGTACATATATGGTTCAATTATGATTCCTTTGTTAGGTTCTTATGGGTGCGCCTCGCTGGCTTTGTATCTTTTATAGTAAACCTTTTAGCAAAAAAATAAAATAAATTCAAAACGCCCTTTAACAAAAAAAACAAAACAAAACATTTCAAAACCTCACGTCACATGATAATTTAATTCATGGAGATCGGTGAAACATATCACACTTTTTTTGCTAAAAACATATCACACTTTATGCATAATGCATTGTATAAAAGTCAGTGATTTGGTATTTAGGATTGGTTGACACATTTGACGAGTGATTAAGAGATGTAGATTATAACTTTTTATTTTGGTATAAGACTCGAGCGGAGAAAGAATCACACGATGAGTCGAAGAGTCACGAAATGGAGGAGATGAGAGAGGTGGTTTTAGCTAGGACGGGAAGTGAATTCAAGTTTTAATTAACTATTTTAACGAGCTTAAAAAAAATTATACAATATTTCGGGAGATTGGAACTTCTGATCCAATTATAAGGTTAAAAAGTAGAATTATGGTCGATCTCGAAACGTAAGGTTTAGACTATTTAGCCAAGGTTGAGTCGTTCGTGCATTGCAAAGGGTTTTAGGAGAAGCCTCGCATCTCTAGAACCCCTGGCTTGTGTCGGTTAAATGCTTGAGCCGCCCGTTCTATGAGAACTTCAGTAAACTTTGTGGTTTATTGGCCTTTCCGAATATAATTGTTTGTGGAGCATCTACGTTCTATTTATTCATAATTTTTTTTTCTAGATAGCTAAACAAGTACCCCAATCTATAAATCATTTGTTTACTATACAATTATCTTTACGGCTATACCAACCAGTAAAATTCTGTATCAGGCTAACAACACTAGGAGAAAGAAAAAAATTTAGATGAAGGTCATAATTTCACCATTTTGGTATCTAGACCGACCCGACCAACAATGATAACATTCTATATTATAAAACATATGTATCAATCTACTAATTATCGATTAGCTTTTTATTGAAAGTTCATTATTCTTCGCATGACAACAATATCAAACAAGTTTGTTTTATCCTCGCAAATATTTTTATTCGTATATGTGTATATGCTACAACCAAGGATTAACACATTCTAAGCAAATGGAATATTGCATGATAATTGCTCTTAAGCAAAAGTCCTGAAGGTATCGAATTTAAGCAAAACATGAGGGACGGACATTCATAAGTTAGCTATACGCTTTATTGCTTTGTTCTTTTGATTTTAGTAATTAAGGGACCTCTAATAAAAGCAATCAACGTCAATTTTCAGAATCTTCTCGTGTGACGAAAATATTGTCAATTAAGAAGAAGAGCCTTATCTTTTTGGCTTTAAGAAGAAAAAAATTGAACTTGATTTTGTTGTTTTTGTCGCTTTGAATTCCTCGTTAATTTTACCCATTTGGGCATTTCGTTCTTATCACCGCCTTACGTTAAAGGAGAAGACGAAGAAACAAAAAAAAAGAACGGAACTTTCTATAAACCCCGAAGGCTCTGGGTTTTTCGAGGCTGCGTTTTCTCCATTTGCCGAAAGCTCACTGACGTTTTCTAGGGTTTTCCTCCTTTAAAGCTTCTGCCTTTTTTTGATACTCTCGATATGGCTGGAGCCGCTTCTTCTGATCGTCTCGTCACTAGTTTCCCTCTTCTGGGTATGTTCATTTTGATTCTCCCTTTTTTTTTGGTATCGGAAGTTATATTTTCTGCTAATCGTAGAACTTTTTTAGCTATTGATTTGTATCCTTTGGTTGTCTGTCTCGAACTTCAATATTTTAAACAAGCGAGGGGATTATATTGTCAGCATCTATCATAGGTTGTCTATTTTGGATTGATTTGTGACGTTTAACCTTGTGAGAAGATAGATGATATATAAATTATGTTTTTTCTTTTGTTGGTTCTGCTTAAGGGTTGAATTTCACCAGTATTTGTTTGCTCGGACTAGGCAATTGGATTTTGAGGTTTTGTAACCAGAAAGACTAACTGGCTCTTGTATGTATATAACTGGTGCAGAAACAGCAGATTTGTTTCAGGAGTTGTCTTTAGGTTCAGATGCAAGCGAAGTCCCTAGGAACCGTAATAAGGTATTTGCTTGCTACTCTTTTGAAATTATGAGTCTTGTAAGCTATATTTATGTTGTGGCGAAAGATCTATATTGTTCTGCTTGTTGTTGATTTAAGTCTAGCACATTTTGTTAACTGAGTGTGTTTTGTGAGAAGGGATCTCTTCAGCACCAGTATGGCCATGTACCTTATGGTGAATTTACTGCTCCATCTTCTTATGGAAGCGAAAGAAGGCTTAATATGAATGCTGGCAATCTGCTAAATGGTGGAGACTCGGTTGGTTCATACCCGTGGGGTTACTTCCCGCCAAACTATCCCTCTGGTGGCTACCAGGATCCGAGGTTTGGTTATGGCCACAACAGCAATTCAAGTACCTTTTCACATCTCATGGTATGCTGGTTCTATTTCATCACACCTTACAATCTCTTATCTTTCTATGGCTATAGAATCTGTGTTTTGTTTTCTTCTTCCTTTAGGCTGGGACTTGAGAATTTTGCGTCTAACAATTGGGTCCAAATCCAATGTGCTCTTTTTTCTTTTTGAGCAGAGTCCACACAGCTCACAAGACGCACTGAGTTTTGAGCAATTTGGATATAATGATCAGTTATATTCCAACCATGGACTGTATGGACTCTACGGGAATGTAATCGACTCTGGTCATGCTTATGGAACTTTTGGCTATGATTCCTGGAAACTTGGGAGAGGATGGTATCCTGTTGATGGTTATAGAAAGACCAGAAGCTTCAATTACGGTCGTGGGTATACTGAAGAAAAAGCTGAAAGGCTTAATGAGCTTTGTCGAGGACCAAGAAGTAGTGATGTCAAGAATCCACAAGGTCTGAACTCTACTATGCTGGAGACAATGAAGCAAGACGTTCCAGCGGTTGATCTCCAGCGCTACAAGGGGGAGAATTTCCCTGAAACATTCACGAAAGCGAAATTCTTTGTGATTAAGTCGTACAGCGAAGATGATGTTCACAACAGTATAAAGTATGGCGTTTGGTCGAGCACACCAACTGGCAACAAGAAGTTGAATGCTGCATATTATGAAGCCAAAGAGAATTCCCAAGAGTGTCCTGTGTATCTTCTGTTCTCGGTCAGTATTGCGGAGACTCAACGGCTAGTGCAATATCCTTATAGAATTTACATTAGGTAATCCGCTGTTAACTTTGGTTTATCTGCAGGTGAATGCAAGTGGGCAGTTTGTTGGTCTTGCGGAGATGGTTGGCCCAGTTGATTTCAACAAGACAATGGAGTATTGGCAACAAGATAAATGGATTGGTTGCTTCCCTGTGAAGTGGCATATAATCAAAGATGTACCAAACAGTCTTTTGAGGCACATAACACTTGCAAATAATGATAACAAGCCCGTCACCAATAGCAGAGACACTCAAGAGGTTCGTTAAACTTCCCTTACACAAGTGTTGGACCATGTGTGAAAGTGAAAGGTTAAAGCTTTTTGAATTCTAATCAAAGGGTTGTGGTTTTCCTGCAGGTGAATCTGGAACATGGAACCAAAATCATAAAGATCTTCAAGGAGCATTTGAGCAAGACATGTATACTTGATGATTTCAAGTTCTATGAGACAAGACAAAAGATCATCAGAGATAAGAAGATCAAGCAAAAGAAACAGGTACACTTGCTTAAAACCCAATGATCCACCAATTGACGGTTTCTGAGCTTGTTGATTCTGATACGTTTTCTGTTTGCTTGTTTGTAATTAGGCTCTTGATGGAACTTCTGGGGAAACGTCTCACTTGTGTTGAAAGCTGATATCTTTGCGAGGAAAGATGACTTTAATTTAAGAACCTAGTTTTGATTATGTTTTTTTTTCCCTTCAGGCTTTGGATTCCTGAAAACCGAATACACATCTTTAATCTGTGGTTTCTGTGCTTTTTTTTTCTAAACTGATTATACATTCTGTTTTGTTCCTTCTAAGGACGAACATCTGATAAAACAAAAACTCATGATTTCTTCTTGTGGTCCCTAAACTTTCGTATAATCTTAATTTCATCCTCGAGATTTAAGTTTCTCCCAAGGACCCACGGATTAAAATTTGTCTGAAAGTTAAAACGACGCCGTTTAAGAAACCCCAAAATTGAAGAATCGGGGAGTATTTGAAAACCTCGAAAGCTATTCTAGGGCAATCCAGCCCACTATAACTCACACCAGAGCCTTCTCTCTCACTTTTACTCCCTCATTTCGTCGCTTCTACTTTTAGGGTTTTTCTTCTTCTTTGTTCTACTGACGCAAGCACAAGGCGTATAGATCGGTATCGGAGAGAATGGGTATGTCGATGCAGCCGTATGGTATCCAGTCGATGCTTAAAGAAGGTTACAGGCATCTCTCCGGTCTAGACGAGGCGGTCATTAAGAACATCGAAGCTTGCAAGGAGCTCTCCATCATTACTCGCACCTCTCTCGGCCCCAATGGTTCGTATTGTTTCGATTGTTGGAGTTTCCTTTTTTTCTCTGGGATCTAATCCCTTCATTTTTATACTTTTTTGTGTGGATCAGCAAGTATATTTCTTCGATCTGACACTTTCTATTGGAAATGATGAATCCTCATTCTCGCCGTCTCGTCTCAGCTTGTTTTGTTTTTTCTTATAGTTCCAAGTAGGATTTTGAGCAAACCTGATCTGTGTTTTCCATGGACTTAGATTCGGATTAGAACTGAGTCTATTCATTGTTACTAGTAGTGCTAAACAAACACTTTCTTATAGCTGTTGGAATCTGATACATCTTTGTTTCTACTGTTGTAGGGATGAATAAAATGGTTATCAATCATTTAGACAAACTGTTTGTCACAAATGACGCTGCCACCATTGTGAATGAACTGGAGATTCAGCACCCAGCTGCGAAAATCCTTGTTTTAGCTGCAAAAGCCCAGCAAGAAGAAATCGGAGATGGAGCCAATCTGACTATCTCTTTTGCTGGTGAGCTTCTTCAAAACGCCGAAGAGCTTATCAGGATGGGGCTGCATCCTAGTGAGATCATTAGTGGATATAATAAAGCAATCATTAAGGTTGGTAAAAAATACTGGAATTGCTGTTTGGTACCTTTTTTATTATTTTATTTCTCTTGTGTGTCTAAGTATCTTTTATGTGCAGGCTGTTGAAATTCTTGAACAACTGGTTGAGAGTGGTTCTGAGACCATGGATGTGCGTAACAAGGATGAAGTTGTATTTCGAATGAGAGCAGCTGTTGCAAGCAAGCAGTTTGGGCAAGAGGAAATCATATGCTCTTTAGTAGCTGATGTAACTCTTCCTTGCTATTCTTTTATGACTTATTTCCTGTTTCACTCTTCAGATTTTGATTTCTTCAAGGACCGCTGATTAAGCTTTTAGCTAATGTGTTTACTTATTTTTCAGGCATGCATTCAAGTCTGCCCAAAGAACCCAACAAACTTCAATGTAGACAATGTCCGTGTTGCCAAGCTTTTGGGAGGAGGTTTGCACAATTCTTGCATAGTCCGCGGTATGGTCTTGAAAAGTGATGCTGTTGGGAGCATAAAGCGAATGGAGAAGGCAAAGGTTCACTTTCTTTTGTTATACCCTTGGTGCCATGTTTATTTTTCTTCTGATTTGATCGAATATTTGCCCCTTAAAGAATTGTAGCTTTGTGGGTATGTCTTTCCTGTTTTGAAAAGCTGAATGTCGCTGAACCCTTTTTATACTTTCTTCAGGTTGCTGTGTTTGCTGGTGGCGTTGATACTAATGCAACAGAAACAAAAGGAACCGTCTTGATTCATAGTGCTGAGCAGGTTAGTTGATTCGTTCTTACAGCGTGGAATCTCTAAATTTTCACCCTACGCTTTCAATGTGATGGGGGGTAAAAATATCACTACTATTCTCTCTTTTGAAAATACCAAGATTACTAAATTGCCTTCTCAAGAATGTTGTGGGTTGTAAACCATATTATAACATTTTCTTTTTGGTTTTCTAGTTGGAGAACTATGCCAAAACAGAGGAAGCTAAAGTTGAGGAGTTGATCAAAGCTGTTGCTGAATCAGGAGCCAAAGTCATTGTTAGTGGGGGACCAGTTGGAGAAATGGCATTGCATTTCTGTGAGCGCTACAAGTATGTGTAGACCCTAATATTTTGTCAATTCTTTTTTGCTGTTTTCATCGCTTTCCCTTTTGATACCCCTGGACATTCCATTGTAGCTGCTTATGATATACATGTCTTTTACATTCAATTCTAATGTGAATTTCCTTGGCAGGATAATGGTCCTGAAAATCAGCTCAAAGTTCGAACTGAGGCGTTTCTGCCGGACAGCTGGGGCTGTCGCTCATGTAAGTGTTGTTCATTCACATTCTCTAAGGTTATCTAAGGGTGTTTTTCTAGTTTTTAATATTTCATGATTATTAAACAGTTGAAGCTAAGCCGGCCTAGCCCTGATGATCTGGGTTACGTTGATTCCATATCAGTTGAGGAAATTGGTGGTGTTACAGTAAGTACTCTGAAGTCAGTTACTGTCTTTTTGGTTAATTATATTTGTCTTTCATCGACCATATGCAATTCTCTGTCTGCTTGTGATGTCTTTAGGTCACTATTGCAAGAAATGAGGAGGGTGGTAACTCAATCTCTACAGTAGTTTTGCGTGGAAGCACAGATAGCATTTTGGACGACCTTGAAAGAGCTGTTGACGATGGAGTTAATACATACAAGGTGATCTTTGCTGGTTTAAGGATCTTTTTTCAGTGTCTATTTTCCTTTTCCGAATAGTGTGCAATTGTCTTGACTTTTGTTATGACTCGTGCTCTTCTTGTCAGGCCATGTGCAGAGATAGCCGTATCGTTCCTGGGGCTGCAGCTACTGAAATAGAATTGGCACAGAGATTGAAGGAATATGCCAACGCCGAAACAGGGTACTTTCTTTTACTCAGTTTATCTGATGCTATCATTTTGGATCATGAATCATTGTAGGCTAGCTTTTTATACAACACTGCCTGTGTGGTGGCTAAACTTGGGTTGTACTTCGATTTTTCAGGTTGGATAAATATGCCATCTCCAAATACGCAGAGAGCTTTGAGTTTGTACCAAAAACCCTCGCAGATAATGCTGGCCTCAATGCAATGGAAATCATAGCCTCTCTATATACTGGACACGGATCTGGAAACACAAAGCTAGGAATTGACTTGGAGGAAGGTGCTTGTAAAGATGTCTCAGAGACAAAAGTATGGGATCTATTTGCAACCAAGTAAGTTTCACATTGCCTTTCAGCCATTACATCATTGTATCATACTCTGGTATTTTTGTTCCGCTCACAAAGAAATGAAGAAGCTGAAGTATATTTTTTTCTGAACCTTTTAATTTTATTTATCACTAAGGCACAAAGTCTTTTTGTGCAGGTTATTTGCTCTTAAGTATGCTTCTGATGCTGCATGCACAGTACTTCGCGTAGACCAGGTATGCACAAACCGACCTGATTTAATCTTTAGTGAACCAACCAGTTTCTCAGTTTAGTTATATCACCTAAAGTTGCTCCATTCCATAAATTAGAAGAAAGTGTTCACTTAATGCAATTGTATCTGCAACGATCAACATATAAACGTCGCTTCCTTAAGTTGTTTTGATTACATCATACTCTTAAATTTAACACTCATATCACAATGAGTAAAGCATACATACTTATACTCTGGTGTATGTATAATGTGCAGATTATAATGGCGAAACAAGCAGGTGGACCAAGGAGAGACGCTGCAGCAGCCGCAGGTGCAGGCGCAGAGGAAGACTAACCTGTAGAACAAATACCTCGTAGTGAAACTCTTCTTCTGTAACCTTTTTTTTTCGAATTCTGGGAAATTTTTGGTATGTCTCAGTTTGTGATCTTGTACACACACCACCAACTTAAGGTTTTGTCTTTTTTGGTTTGCATGTTCGGTTCGTCCCAACTTGAAATTTCCCGGTTTAGCTAAATGAAATTATTGCGAGGATCCGTTTATATGGTTTGGGTTCCTCACTCCGGTTCCTGAACAAAATTGATACTAAATGATTAGATTAGATCAGTAACGATTACTGAAGAAGACAGAAATTCTTTGAGGAAAAGAAAACAAACTAGTATTTGAACAAGATCCACACATTGACAAAAGAACAAGAGAACCTAGCACTACAATTTGAACCTAAGTAAGATCTAAGCCTTTTTTATGTTCATCCCTTAAAGCTTCAAGTAGGAACAAGATAAGGAGGCATCATGTCGTCTTGCAGATGCACCCACATGACAGAAGCAAATCCTGCAACTGCAATTGACAAGAAACTCAATCCCCATCTCAACACACGCTTGCTCCTGATCATTCTCGAGTCTCCTGTCTTGAGTTTGGCCTCAGAATCCAAATCCGACTTCGGTTTCTCACAGATGTCTTCTGTTGTGTTGGTTGGAGTAGTAGTACCAGAGCTATCATATATTGATGATGATGATGAGCTTTGACTGTATTGTTGCAGCTGCTTTCTGTTCTCTAGTAGCTCAGTGAATGGATCTTGTGTGAAACCGTGCCTGTGATGTATCGAACTCATGTCTCCTGATTGTCGCTTCTTCGTGTTTCGTCTTGAACGTCTTGAGCGATTGGTCCTAGAACCCACAGATTCGTTAAAGTCAGAGCTTCTGTTCCTCTGATGGAACCAAACTGACTCTATGTTATCATCTTCAACACCAGAAAAATGAATCTGAAACCAAAGTAGCAGAACAATGAAACCTTTTTTTAAAAAAGAACGGACACAAGAGATATAGCTTTTAAAGTTTTGTAGCATTTTTACCTGATTTCCAAATCTTGGACTCTCGATCACAGAACCGGTTCTTTGGTTATGGTCATCAAAAGTCACCAAAGGAGAGCCTGAGACAGCAGTTCTTCCACTGGCTACACCGCAAAACAATACATCTTCATCGTCTTGAGCGTTTACATAACTCCCGTCATGTCTACTGTTAACACTCCACGGGTCATGTGCTCCCAGACTTGGTGTAGACTTGACTGATCCGCTGAGCGAGATTCGGGTCTTGTTGCAGTTCTCTGCATCCACCATCGGATCTGCCTCTCCTATTAATCTCTCTGCTGTTCTCATGGTTTCGTATGCAGCCATTCTGACAAAATGCATCTGATCTTTCTGGTGTTTCTCCAGCTCCTGGAATATAAGCTCTAGCTCAGAACAAATACTCTTGGGATCCAGATACTTCATCAGAAAGTTGAGCATCTGTATAGCTAAAAGCCGTTTCTGAGAATCTCCTTCAACAACACCTAAATCCAGAATCCTCAAACCGGACTTCACCAAAAGCCTTGCATATGCTTCAACGGTAAAAGGATTGTGCTTAGCAAGAGCTATGACAAGTGCCATATGAGACTTGGCTTCACTTGAAGTGGCTTCAAGAGCAACAGCTAAGCTTTGGCAAACCTTATTAACCATTTCAGGAGAAGCAAATCGCCAGTTATCGCAATCCACAAGTGACTTCAAGCAGAGAGCAGACCCCAAAGCAAGATGCTGTTGATGCTGCGAATCTAGAAGAGAATCAGAGAGAGGCTTACAAAGAGAATGAATCACATTCTTTTTCTTATCTTCCGGTGTTGCAGGATCAATTCCATATCTAGCCATAGCAGCTACCGCCTTTGAGCAAGCCTGTTGAACACCTAAGGACCCTTCACCAGAGCTCAATGTCCTGATGATAACCGGCATGATCATCTCTACATGGGGAGCAATTTTTACTCCATGAGCACGGGCAAGGTCTTCGAAGAGAGAAACCGTGTAGCCACCTGACTCAGAACCGATCTCTTTGGTTTCAGAAACTTGAGCAACAAACACGTGAATCACTTTTGCACTCAAATCTTTCACAATAGATCTCAGATTGCTCATTGCAGTCTTGTAAGTATCTGGGTCTTTGTCAAGATTAGCTAACTCTTGTCTAAACGCTGAACCGAGATTTCTCCCCATCTTTTCCTCCTGGATACTCTGAAAACAATATGCCACAATAAAGTCAACAAGCAAGATCATAGCGTAAATTCTCTTCACCTCTTGACCTTAGTTTATATATACAGTATCGGATATACACAACTGACACAAGATAGAGAATATAAACAATCATCTGAGAATAAGAGAGGTTCGTTTCTCTAATAACTTTACCAAAATGAACATAGTCAATAAATGTAAACCATATCCGAATAAGGGAAAAAAAAAAATCAATCTTGACCCATTTTCATGAGGATTAGACTAAAACCATTACTCAATTCCATCAAAAAATGACAATCAAATCTTTTTGGTGAATCGAACGGAACGAATCATTCTCCGGATAAATTTTGAATTCCCGCAGATAATTGAGTAAAACGATTACTTCAAATTCTTAAAAGTTTAATCTTTTACAACAATAAACATAAATATCATCGAATGAAAGGGATTATCTATTCTATAGTGATGAATTAACGAAAATGGGTCTTATGAATTCGAATCCCAAAGGATCAATTAAAGAAGAGAAGTAGTAACCCTAATCAATAAAGAGGGTATGAACAGAGTTTCGAATGTCAGCAAAAAGTAAAGCAGATGAATATTGAAGAACGAAGCGTACCCGTGTCTGATTACGAAGATTGACCCAAGAAAATTTCCTTTCAAAGACAAAATAAAGAAAACCCAAGAATCTGAAAGTCCCCAGATTCAAGAGAGATGGCTCTTCTTCTCTTCTTACGATACGACGCGAAGAAAACCAGAAAAGGGATTCAACTTTTTTTTTGAACGTTGAGAGTTTGGTGAGATGGGCGGGTTTATGGTAACTCTCCGTAATTTTTGGGTCCAAAGCGAATCGAGCCCTTCTATTTTCCTGTTTTTTTTCAAATGGTACCAACATTTTAAATTATCAAAGTATAGCCTATGCGATTAGTGTGATTTCGTTTTGTTTTGTTTTGTTTTTTTTTTTTTTTTTTAACGTCTGCATATTTCATTGATGTTATTGTAAATACAAAGTGTTATGATCCTCATGGAGGATTTGAACAAGGTAGTAAGGGACATAAAAATGAAATACAAAGGAATTATTAGGAATTAGAGGTTCTCTTGCTAAACGATCTGCAGCTTTGTTACAGGATCATGGTGCCTATTGGAAGTCAATTGATTCGAATTTCTCTCCCCACCATTTGATATCTCTGATCCATTTATGTAGCTTGAAGTTTTACACTTTACCTGTAAGTAATTTGAAAACCATCTGATTATCTCCTTCGAAGATTATTCGACGATATCCACAACTCCATGTATGCTGCATTGCCATCAATAAAGCTTGTAATTCTGCTTCTAAGACATTTATTACTTGTCTTCCAAGCCCTTGGCCAGCTCCTAAATAGAATCCTTGAGAGTCCCTTATAATCCAGCCTGACAGAGACTGTGTTGCTTCTCTATATCGACAATCAAAATTGCATTTGATGAAACCTGGTTTTGGTGCCGCCCAATGAGAGTGAGTCTCAGAATTTCTCATATGCAAATTTTGATTTCTCGGCTGCTCTTCAGAATTGAGGATAGAAGTCCATTCTTCTGCATCCATGACAGCTTGTTTCAAATCCTTTCTCCAGGAATTACTCTGTTTTTGGTAAACAAGTAGATTCCGACTTTTCCATATCCTCCACATCGTACATAATGGAATTTGTCGTTGAAGCAGAGAAAGATTGGTGTTCGTATGACAGGCTAGAACAGCTCGTAATTTTGATTCAAAGGAATTATTTGGATCAAATAATTCTCTTATAGTGTGATTTCGTTTATATCAATTACAGCAAATGGTACTGGAATTTTGATTTAATAAAGTGAATGTGGTTATTAGTGGGTTGATAAGATGACCTTAATTAGTTGCGTAAGTCTATGAACCCTTTGAAATTAATTGATCTAGTAAATGTGTTACTTTGGAGATTTTAACCTAATTTTAAATATTACGTGGGAATTGATAATGTTGTTGTTTTAGATTATTTGAAGATAGTTCGGTAAAGTTGTGGGTTTTCGCAGTCAATTACAAAAAGTTTGTTTTTCAATTGTCTTAATATTTTAGGAAAACAAAATATTTGCTGAAATCCTGATTAATTAGATATCCTACTTTATGAGGTATATTGTCCAGATAAAATTTCAATATTTTGTATGGAAAATGTTAGTCAATATGCCATAAAATCATAAATTCTTACTATCAAATGATTTATATACTTCATTATCTTCATTCCCTTATTTTTGTTCAAATACAATGTCTTGGTTTCAATTAGGCAACAAAGTTTTGACTAAAATTAATTATGCCAAATGGGATCAAATGACATTGAAGGGGAAATAAATGGGGCACAATCTTTAGACATCAAAATAGAAAGGGGTGTTGACCAAAATAAAAGAAGAAAGGGGGTCAATTTGTTAAAATATAAAGTTCGAGGCTGCTTTCATACGATATGAATCTAATATATTGAAGGATCAGACCACAAAGAAGAAGCACTTCCCGATTAATCATGGCTGCAAAGTCGTCAAATTCGCAAACGCCGCTTCCTCTCGCCGGCCGAGTCGCCATAGTCACCGGTTCCTCTCGTGGTATTGGGCGAGCGATAGCGATTCACCTCGCTGAACTCGGTGCGAGGATTGTCGTCAATTACACCACTAAATCCGCCGATGCGGAGCGTGTCGCGGCGGAGATCAACGATTTACCAGCCAGGGAAGAAATCACCGGAAAAGGACCAAGAGCGATTGTTGTTCAGGCCAATGTCTCCGAACCAATCCAGGTCAAATCGCTGTTCGATGCGGCGGAGAGCGCCTTCGAGTCGCCGATTCACATTCTGGTTAACTCGGCTGGAATCCTCGATCCTAAGTACCCTACGCTCGCAGACACAACAGTAGAAGATTTTGATCGCACTTTCAGGTACTGAGTTCTGTGCTATACTCGAGATTGTTCATTTTAATTTGATTCTTGTCTTACATCTAAATATTGCTAAAGTAAGCAATTTTTTAGTTTGGTTCGAATCAGATGTGATATGCTCTATGTTATTGAGTCAGAAACCTGATTCCTTTTAGTATACTTCATTACGTGTGTTTCAGCCATTGTCACATACCTGTACTTGATCACTCTCCATTAATCCACTATTGTTCCAATGTTGTTGATATCTGTATGTCTGATTTCGAATCAAATTTCAATTAAAGGTTTGTTCTTTCAACCGCTGCTACGTACATCTGTTCTTGATCACTCTCTGCTTGTTTGTAGTGTCAATACAAAAGGAGCGTTCTTGTGCAGCAAGGAAGCTGCCAATAGGCTAAAACAAGGAGGCGGTGGTCGGATCATACTCCTGTCATCTTCCTCGACTCGAGCCTTAAAGCCAGGATTCGGAGCCTATGCAGCATCAAAAGCAGCTGTGGAAACTATGGCTAAGATTCTTGCAAAAGAGCTCAAAGGAACTGGAATCACTGCAAACTGTGTTGCTCCAGGACCCATCGCCACTGATATGTTCTATGAAGGAAAGAGCTCGGAGTTGGTAGAAAGTATAGCCACGGAGTCTCCCTTTGGGAGGCTCGGTGAAGCCAAAGACGTGGTGCCTCTTGTTGGTTTCTTGGCTAGTGATGGTAGTGAATGGATCAATGGTCAAATCATTCCTGTTAATGGTGGATATGTGTGAAACGTTTGTGAAGCTTCAGAGCCTCTTTGCTAGTTTCTTCGAGGCTTAGTCATGATTGTTTGCAAATGTGGGTTAAGTTGTTAGGATTGAAACATTGAGGTTCAATTAGAAGTGCAGACAATTGTGACTTGTAGAAGCTACGGTGTGACTGTTGTCCAATCGGGATTTAAATAAATGTTTTTTTCGTCTTAATAGTTAAATACACAGCCGTTACTCGTGTCGCCGACATACACAATTTTTGTTTTTTTTCCCAATATATCCAAATTATTTTGGAAAGACGATATTTCGTCGACATCCAATTCTTTTCTAAAAACCTTTAATTTAATTAATTTAATTAATTTAATTTGTCTACTTTACTGACAGTCATTAGGACCAATTTATGTTTTAAATTATTCTTCTAATCACCATCCGAATATCTATGGATAGACATCGCTTGAAGACATACAACTTACAGAATCTAACATGGTTGAGAATATCTCAAGTGCAACACCTAAAAGTCTAAAAACAATACCCTTGAAGCATCTTATTTATATAAAAAAATATCAATCCATGAGGAGGAATAATCAACGCAAAGCTCTTGTATCCAGAAGTTTTGCTCAAAAAGAATAAATGATAAGTATTTAGGATAATAAATGCAGTGGAACAGAAAAAGGAAAGATATGATAAAGAAATTTTCATTTTCATTACACACACACCTACCCAATTAAATTTTATATAAACAGTAGCCTTCTTCTTTGCCCATGAAAAACAAACAAACCCAAGAAGAAAGAAAAAAAATGAGTCAACACAACATCCTGGAAGCTCTTAACGTCCGGGTCGTGGGTACGGGTGATCGGATCCTGGTTCTAGCCCATGGATTCGGTACGGACCAATCGGCTTGGCACCTAATCCTCCCTTACTTCACTCCGACTTACAGAGTCGTCCTCTACGACCTAGTTTGCGCCGGCAGCGTCAATCCCGACTACTTCGATTTCAATCGGTACACGACGCTCGACGCCTACGTCGATGATCTCCTCAACATCATCGATTCACTCGGAATCCAAAATTGCGCCTACGTAGGTCACTCCGTCTCGGCTATGATCGGAATCATCGCTTCGATCCGGCGACCGGAGCTTTTCTCTAAGCTTATCCTAATCGGAGCTTCCCCTAGGTTTCTCAACGACGAGGATTACCACGGCGGATTCGAGGAAGGAGAAATTGAGAAGGTTTTCTCAGCTATGGAGGCTAATTACGAGGCTTGGGTTCAAGGATTCGCGCCGTTAGCCGTCGGAGCTGATGTTCCGGCGGCGGTTAGAGAATTTAGCCGGACTTTGTTCAATATGCGTCCGGATATCTCTCTGTTCGTATCCAGGACGGTTTTCAACAGCGATCTGAGAGGCGTGCTTGGGTTAGTGAGAGTGCCTTCGTGTGTGATTCAGACGGCGAAGGATGTCTCGGTTCCGGCTTCGGTGGCGGAGTATCTCCGTGCTCATCTCGGAGGAGATACCAAAGTGGAGACGCTCAAAACTGAAGGACATTTGCCGCATCTTAGTGCTCCGGCGCAGCTCGCTCAGTTTCTCCGGCGAGCACTTCCTCGGTGATTTTTGTTTTTGCTTTGAATATTGTTTTTTTTTTTGGTTTAGAAGGAAAAAAGAAAGAAACAATTGGAAGAATATGGAACTTGTGGGTTTTGGTGGGGTCTACGTGGGGAAATGAAGGGCCTCTATTTGTGGAGGACAGTTTGGCATTGTCAAATCTAGAGAGATAAGATTGTTCACTTGACACGTGACAAACGCATTTTTTACTTCACTTTTCTTTTGCTATTGAGTATGATTGGTTTAGTTAAATCACGAGTTTAAATAAATTACAAATACTAGTAATTGTCAGTGGATTTCGCAGAATCACAAAGATAATCAAAATAATCAAAATAATCTTTATCTTACTTTCTAACATCTCTCTCCATCCATATTGTTTTCTTACAAGGTTTGGTCTTTTGATTTAAGTATCTTTTAGCCTCGGCACTTTCGAATGTGAAACATGTTCTTAAATTTTCTCTAGGCAAGTGATGGAGACAAAACATAAAACGACAGCAAGAAAAACAAAAAAATCAATGCTAGAAAACTCTTAAGAAATTTGCATACAAATTAACAATCTCGACAAGTCACTAGTCACTACACTCAATTTCAGGACATCCAAGATAAGGTTAATCAAATTCTTAAAGTTGCCAAAAAAAAAAAATTGCAAAATTATTAACAAACAGCCTGAGAATTTAAGGGAGTAAAATCTTTTTGGTGGTGTAATGGTGGCTCTGTCTTGTAATGAGAGAAAGGTTAATGCTTTTATATAGCCAAATCCCGAACACTATACAGTATTTTATTTATTGCAAGAGAGACCGTTTAGTTAACGATGCATGGTTATTTCTTCAATCCTTTCCTTGATTAAACAATGTCTAAGCCTAAGTTAGTTAGTTAGCCAAAAGTCAAACAAAAAAAACAGAGTATTTTGTTGTATTTAATCAAATGGAACGAAATATGACATGATTGATGGACCAATAATCAGAGTCATATACAACAAAAAGGAAAAGAAAGAAGAACATATGTAAATCCACTGTGTCATTAGAAGACAGACCAAGCCACTCATCATCAAAGCCAACCTATTAGTGCAACCAATCAAAGCCGAGGTCTTTTGTTAAAAGGATTAATTTATGAATGCCTTGTTCATGATATAATGATTATCTTTTTATTTGGTTTTTGTTTTTAACGTCGTTCATGATAATGATTATCATACATGTTTTTTTTAAGTTCTAACGTCGTTCATGATAATAATCATAAAATCCGAGACGAGAAAGCAATAATAAAAAAAAAAAAGTCGGGAATTTTGTAGCCCACGGCTTAATAGCCCATAAAGCAAGTAACGTTATAAGAAACCCTAAACCGTACGGTATCTCGCTAGTCGCTTGCTATCTCCCTCTCTGCCGGCGTTTCAGATCATCAGAGGTCGGTGATTGTCAATCTTCTGTCTGACGTCTGATTGATTGATTGATTTTGGTATACGTACGTAGGTAGGGTTTAAAAAGATGATGAAGAACAAGAGGACTCCGACGGCTGAGTACGCGACATCTAAAACGATGGTGTGGTGGGACATGGACAACTGTCCGCTCCCAAATGGTTATGACCCTCGTAGGCTCGGTCCGAGAATAGACTCGGAGCTGAAGAGTTTAGGCTACAATGGTCCGCTCACCATAATTGCCATGGGTGACCTGTATGGCATCTCTATTGACTTCCTCCGAGCGCTCGCTTCCACTGGAGTCGTTATTAAACACGCTCAATCCTGTTGTTTCATCTTTCTTTCTTTCTTTCTACTATATATAATTTTTTTTTTTATATATATAGCACAAATTGATTCAACTTACCTGTTATAAATATATAGGGCAAATTAAATGAGCATTTTGTATGATTTGGTGGACTCTGAAAGTTTTAAACACTCTCCAGTGACAATAATGCTCATATCGGATACCATTGTACGGGATGAAGTCATTTGCGAACTTTGCGAGCAGCGTGATCACGGCGGATACAACTTTCTTCTAGCTTATACAAAATCAGATGAACCTGTTGATATTGGTTTAAGTCTATTGGTTCAGGGCAAAGGTCAAATTGAATTGAACCGGAGGCATTGGAGTTTGGTTTGACTTCAGATTAGGTGCCGGTTATTGGATACAAGAAGCGACACCGTTTAGCTCTGGTTTGAGCTGGTTCAAGAGCTGAATCTCGAAGATGACCGTTAGAGTCTGAGTATATTGCGAAACAAAATCTTGTTACAGGTTGTTACAGATTTAGTTAGCGATATATGTAATTGAGAGAGATTCAATTCGGGTTAGAGAACAAGAGAGAAGAAAGATCGGGTGAGAGTTTTCTTTTCTGGGTTCTGGTTTTCCGAAAGAGAGGCTTGTGAGTTTTTTCCGGTGAGTGAAAGCGAGTTTCTCGGAAAGTTTCCGGTGTATCGTCGTCTTGTATCAAACCTATTCTCTTAGTGGATTCCGGGGAAATCTTCGGCCAGACGTAGGGTTGCGATTTGCACCTGAACTGGATAAATTCTTGTGTGCATTTAGATTCCTGTATTCACAACTTCGAGCGATTCTCATTGTGTAAATCGATCAGAAATCAAGTTCAAGCGTGAGTGATCGGAGAGGTTTTACAACAAGTGGTATCAGAGCCAGGTTCGGGAAGATTGGGATCGAGCTCGTTTGATCGCGAAATCGCTTGCTCTGAGTTTGAATCCTTCTCTATTCGACGATGACTTCCGCAAAGATCGAAATAGAGAAATTCAACGGGGTGATTGATTACAATATGTGGAGAGAACGGCTTTTTGCACACCTGGATCTTTTAGGTCTAGTGGAAGCACTGAAGAAGCAGGAGGAGGAATTTGAGGAAAACAAGTCCTCATCGAAGTTGGATGTAAAAGGAAAGGAAGAATCACCGAGTGATGCAGGATCAAAGAAAGGTGATGAAGATCTAGCTGAAAAGCAAAGAAAGGTACGCAGTACTATCGTAATGAGCATTACCGATAAGATCCTTAGAAAGATCATAAAAGAACAGACTGCTATTGGAATGTTGAAGATCTTGGATTCACAGTACATGTCAAAGTCATTGCCAAATAGGATGTATCTGAAACAAAAGCTCTACGGTTTTAAGATGAATGAGTCTCAGTCAGTTGAAAACAACATAGATGAGTTCTTGAGGATTATAACAGATTTGGGAAATGTCATGGTGGAAATTCCAGATGAAGATCAAGCCATTCTTCTATAGATGTCCTTACCTAAACAGTTTGAACATCTGTGTGACACATTGAGATATGGAAAGGATACCTTGACGTTGAATGGTGTTATGAACTCCCTGCGTTCAAAGCAACTTGAACTCAGTGCTAGCTCAAAGACTGGAAAAACTCAAGGGGAAGTGTTGTATTCAAACAACTCAAATAAGGGAAAGGGAACTGGAAAAGACTCAGGACAGAACAAGTCAAAGGGTAAGCAAAACTCAAAGTCAAAGAGTAAGGGCTCACTCACGTGCTGGATCTGTGGAGGTGAGGGGCACTTCAAACGGAATTGTCCAAAGAAGTCAAATCAAAATGGCAGTGACAAGACGAAGGAACAAGGTGAATCATCTGCTGTTACAGCCATTGAGTTCATAGAGTCACTCGTAGTTTCTGAGGCAAATGCAGTTGAAGGGGTGGACTTCAATGAGATTTGGATCTTGGATACAGGGTGTACATTCCATATGACACCTAGAAAGGACTGGTTTGTTGAGCTCAGGGAGTGTAATGCAGGTTCAGTAAGGATGGCAAATGAGACCGTTTCTGCCGTAAAAGGTATAGGCACTATACGGTTGAAAAACTCTGATGGGAGTTTTGTGCTGATCAAGGATGTCAGGTACATTCCGGAGTTCTCAAGGAACTTGTTGTCTCTTGGAACATTTGAAGAACAAGGATGCACTTTCTCGTCAGAAGAAGGAGTTCTGAATATCAGAAAGGGCAGTAAGATAGTTCTCAGGGCCAGCAGAAGAGGAAAGTTATATTTTCTGCAGGGTAAGAGTTTCATTGACGAAGCTAATGTGGTCGATTCTGATGATGAAACTCATCTATGGCACAGTAGACTTGGCCATGTCAGTAAAAGAGGAATGGACATACTGGTGAAAAAGGGATACTTGAAGAGCAAGAAGATCACGGATCTCCAGTTCTGCGAGAGCTGCATCTATGGAAAAGCTCATAGATCAAGTTTTTCATCAGGAAAACATTCCAGTAAGGCGTGTTTAGAATATGTACACGCAGATTTGTGGGGTTCTCCGTCTGTGCCTCAGTCGCTTGGAAAATGTCATTATTTTCTCAGCTTGATCGATGACTATTCCAGAAAGGTGTGGGTATTCTTCTTAAAAACTAAAGATGAAGCTTTTGAGAAGTTTGTTGAGTGGAAGCTGTTGGTTGAAAATCAGTCTGGCCTAAAGGTTAAGAAACTAAGGAATGACAACGGATTAGAATTCTGCAACAGAGACTTCGATGGATATTGTGCTCAGAATGGGATTGCTCGTCACAGGACTATTCCTCACACTCCACAACAAAATGGAGTTGTGGAAAGGATGAACCGAACGATTCTTGAAAGGGTAAGAAGTGTTCTTAGTGAATCAGGCTTACCAAAGGCTTTCTGGGCTGAAGCCGTTAATACCGTGGTATATCTTGTAAATCGAACTCCATCTGCAGCAATTCAAGATCAAATTCCTGAAGAAGTTTGGTCAGAAACAGTTCCAAGTTTTAACCACTTAAGGAGATTTGGTTGTGTTTGTTTTTATCACACTGATGATGGGAAGTTGCAACCTAGGGCGAAGAAGGGAATCTTTATAGGTTACCCTCCTGGTGTTAAAGGATATAAAATTTGGTCTTTGGATGACAGGAGAAGCATAATTAGCAGGAATGTTACATTCAAGGAAACAGAATGTTACAAAGATTTGGCGAAATTGCTTGGTGTGTCAAAAGAAAGGAATACGGAGTTCCTGGATATTGAGCTTGGTATGGATAAAGAAGGTGATATCAGCTCAGGAGGAGATCAACAGGGTTTAAGGAGTGAAGATAGGTTGGCATCCGGAGATAATCCGATTGATCTATGTTCAGAGGAAGAGGACTCAGGAAATGAATCAGATGACAACGATTCAGGGGAATATGTCTTAGCTCGGGACAGACCGAGAAGACAAATCATACCTCCAAAGAAGTATGATGATTTTGTGCATATGGCTTTGCTTGTATCTGAAGAGATTGATCCTCAGGAACCAAGTGACTT